TTTAGGGTTTAGGGTTTAGGGTTTAGATGGCGAAACGGCTGACTAGCTCGAAGAGGTCTTCAACTTGCTGCGAGCCCCTAGACCTCATCAAGACAGCCACTGCGCTTCTCCTGAAGTTTGCTGCTGCTCTAAGCCGCTTCCGCCGCTCTTGATCCTGCTGCTGCTGCTGCTGCTGCTGCTCGCTGTCGCCTTGCTGCGGGGGCTGAGGCAAGGAGCCCGGCTGCTGCTGCTGCGGCGGGCGAGGCGGGCGCTGCTGGGGTTGCTGCTGCTGCTGCTGCTGCTCGCCCTCGGCGGGCAGTTCTGGCTGCTGCTGCTGCTGCGGCGGCGGCCTTGGAGGGCGAACTTCGTGTTCGCTGCCTGCGTCTCCTAGCCCGGCTTCTCCCTCCTGTGGGGCCTCGGGATCGATGGGATCGCTTTCATGTGGGGTCTCGGGATCGACGGGATCGCTTTCATGTGGGGCATCGGGATCGACGGGATCGCTCTCTTGTGGGGCCTGGGGATCGATGGGATCGACTTGTGGGCTCTCGGGATCGATGGGATCGCTCGATCCCCTCTTAGGCCTCACTACGCACTCCACCGCCACATCCACTAGTCCGTGGTCAAGAGAAAGTTCGTCAGTAAAGACTGCAGCAAAAGAAACAAACAGCTCCCAGCAGCTAGCCAAGTGGCTAGCTGGATGGCTAGCTGGCTGGCTCGCCTGCTGTGGCTAGCTGCGGCTAGCCGTGTTTGCTCCTAGCTAGCCGTAGCTAGCTGCGGCTAGTTGTGGCTAGCTGTGGCTAGCTGTAGCTGGCTGTGGCTAGCTGTGACTGGCTGTGGCTAGCTGTAGCTGGCTGTGGCTAGCTGTGGCTAGCTGTGGCTAGCTGTGGCTAGCTGTGGCTAGCTGACCTCCGTCTTTAGTGTGTTCGGCGGACTCGCAGGCCTTGGAGACGGAAGAGACAAGAAGTTGAATGAGAGTTTCTCTATCCTAAATGCAGAAATAAAATAAACAAAATAAATAAAATAAAATAAAATAAAATAAAATAAATAAAATAAAATGGAGGGAGAAACAAGAAGAATGGTTAGGCAGACAGCCCGCCAAAGGCAGGTGTAACAAGGGACTCGCCGCCGCACAGCAGCAGCAGCAGCAGCAGCAGCAGCAGAAGAAGCAGCAGCAGAAGCAGCAGCAGCAGAAGAAGAAGAAGGAGCAGCAGCAGCAGCAGCAGCAGCAGCAGCAGCTGGAGGGAAGGGACTTACAATCTCTCCTCGGATTTCAACTGCGAGAGACCAGGCCTGTAGAGCATGCACAAGGAAAAAAGCAAAAGACACTCAACAAGCCCAAAGCAGCAGCAACAGCAGCAGCAGCAGCAGCAACAGCAGCAGCAGGAGTCTCTGTTTCTTACAGATAAAAAGGAGATGCTGATGGCCCTGCCGTTGCCTTTCACTTTAAAAGACAAAACTGTCAAAGTGCGGCCTGAAGAGAAGCAGCATAAAAGCAAAGTGGTTAAAAATGCAAAAATAAAAAATTAAAAAAATAAAATAAAAGAAAACGAAAAGAAAAAACAAAAAAGAATCGACAGAAAATAAACAGAAAGAGCTGAAGAGGGGAAGAGCAGCAACGCGCTATCAGCAGCACACAGCTGCGATAAACCTTTAACCCTAAACCCTAAACCCTAAACCCTAAACCCTAAACCCTAAACCCCACGCACCGTCTTGCATAAGGATCTCTCGGAGGTCTTCGGACAAAGTCTGAAGGCGGCAGAAAGCAGCACAGCAGCACCAGCGGTCTACTTGCTGCAGCACGCCCCCCCAGCGCAGCAACAGCAGCAACAGCAGCAACAGCAGCAGCAGCAAAGCAGCAGCAGCAGCAGCAGCAGCAGCATGAGTTCATGTGTGTCCCCTTACCTCGCCCTCTGGTAGACCGCCGAGGTAATCATGCGGAAGATGGTCTTCAACAGCTGCTGCATCACTGCCGCTGTCGCTGTCGCTGTCGCTTTCACTATTGCTGCTGCTGCTGCTGCTGCTGCTGCTGCTGCTGCTGTCGCTGTCTTCTTCAGCAGCATCTGCTGCTCTCGGCGCCTGCGGCAGCGGCCTTTCCCAGCGGCTGGGGGGGCTGGGGCTGGGGGTGGCGGGCCTCCACAGAGGTCGGTTGCTGCTGCCGTTGCTGCTGCTGCTGCTGCTGCTGCTGCTGCCGCTGCTTGGGAGCGGCAGCCTGTTGATCTCGGGGGGGTTTGCTGGTGGTGCTGCTGCTGCTCTGTCTCCCCCCACTGGCCGAGGGGCTGCTGCTGCTGCTGCTGGAAAGCCCCGGCTCAGCACGCCCACAGAGCCACTCTCCCCGGCCGGCTGCTGCTGCTGCTGCTCCTGCGGCTGCTGCGGCGGCTGCTGCTGCTGGTGCTGCTGCCGCTGCTGCTGCAGGTGCTCGCGCAGCAGCTGCAGCTGCTCAGGCCGCAAGTGCAAGAAGTCCTGCTGCTCCTCCCCCTCGTCGGTGCTGCCCAAAACCACACTGCTGCGGGGTGGGGTTGTTGTTGTTGAAGAGCCCGGGAAAACAGGCTTTTCTGCTGCAGTAGCAAAGTGCTGCTGGGGCCTCTGTGCTGCAGCAGCAAAAGGGGGAAGACCTCCGGCGCCGCTCCAGGTGACTCTCGAGCCCCCGGGCGCTGCTGCTGCTGCTGCTGCTGGTCGCCTTCCTGCTGCTGCTGCAGGGGCTCTGCCCGCTGCAGCAGCTGGTGGCAAGGCGGCAGCTTCGTCACCTCGTGGTGCTGCGTCTGCCGCTGCTGCGTCTGCTGCTGCTGCTGCTGCTGCTGGGGAGAATTCGCCAAGCAGCAAGCAGAGTGCTGCCCCGAGGGACAAAAACCCGCGGAGGAAGGTGATTTGCATCTTCAAGGGGTAAAAGGGCTACCTGTTGCTGCTGCTGTTGCTGCTGCTGCTGCTGAGCTGTCTATACACCTGAAACTAAGGGGAATGAGAGAAACCAAACCGGGAAGAAAAGATAAAAGCACAACTGCAGGATGTGTGCAGCACAGCAGCAGCAGCAGCAGCAACAGCAGCAGCAACTCACGCAAAAAGCAGCACCCAGTGACTAGCCCGCGTGACCAGTGGTCCAGTGTGTCCCGGTGACCTGCTGCTCTCGAGCACTGCATTTCTTGCTGCCTTTAAACCATTTTATTATTTTTAATTTCTTTTATTTTTTTTAATTACTTTTTAAAATTAAATATTAAATCATAAAGAGACTCTTTGCTGCGCTGCTGCTTCCCTGGCCACAGGCGGCGGCGAAGGGCTTGCTCGAGGTGACCCAAGAGCCGCGAGAACCCTAAACCCTAAACCCTAAACCTAAGCCTTAAACCTAAACCCTGAACTTTAAACCGTAAAGCTTGAAAAAATAAAATCAATTTTCATCCTCTAGCTGCTAAATCCGAACCGTAAACCCTAAACCCTTAGGCCCCGGTGGGCCTCTGGATATGTGGTGCTGCTGCTGCCGCTCTGTTGCAGCTCTGGGCCCTCTGAACACTAAACCCTAGACCCTAAATTGTATGATAAAGTCCAGGCGCTGAAACATTCAAAGGGCTCTCATGAGAGTCTCACGGCCGGGGGCTCAGGGTTTAGGGTTTGGGGTTTAGAGTTTCTGGCTGCAGCCCTGCTCTTGGGCAGGTCCTAGGGTTTAGGGTTTAGGGTTTAGGGTTTAGAGGGGGCCGTCTGCTGCTGCACAGGCGGGCTGCGCTGTACGTACACCCCGCGGCCCTAGCTGCCTCTTTCTGCCTTTTGCTGCTTTTGGTGCTTCTGCTGCGTTCGTAGTCAGTTTCGGAAACCCTAAACCCTAAACCCTAAACCCTAAACCCTAGGCTCTGCATAAGCCGTGTGGGCGCGTTCGCTGAACTTGAGGTGTATATACACTTGAACCAATAATGCATGTCCAGCGTAGACGCCTAAATGATGGACCAGCAGCAGCAGCAGCAGCTGCTGCTGCTGCTGCTGCAGCTGCAGTTCCTGGTGGAACTCCTGCTGCAGCTGCTGCAGCAGCGCCTGTATCAAAAGCAGCTGCTGCAGTTGCTGCTGCAACTGCTCGGTTAGCTGCTGCTGCAGCAAATGCTGCCTCTGCCCCTATAATACAGCTCACAGGCGAGTTGCTGCTGCTGGCCTTCCAGCAGTAGCAGCAAATGTGGCAGCACTCCCAGCAGCAGCAGCAGCGCCTGCAGCAGCAACAACAGTATCTATTGCTGGATTTGCTGCTGTGGCTGCTCTTGCTGCCACCTGTGCAGGACCAGCTGCTGCTGCTGCTGCTGCTGCTGCTGCGAGAGTGCATTTTGCTCCTATGACAGGAGTCCCCGCTGAGGTTCCTGCTGCTGCTACAGCAGCAGCAGAAACCCCTGCAACAGCAGCAGCAGCTGCTGCTGCTGCTGTTGCTGCTGCTTCTGTTGCTGCTGCTGCTTTTGCCTTTAAAGAAACCCCAGGCGAGCGAAGACAGCATTGACCGCCTTCTGGGGTTCGAATTTCTTCGGATCAGCTGCACGCAACCCAAACCCTAAACCCTAAACCCTAAACCCTAGACGCTAGACCCTAAACCGTAAACCCTGAACCCTAAACCCTAAACCCTAAACCCTCACCCGGCACTGCGAGAGACACAAGGTCCTGTTGCTCCTTGCAGCAGCAGACGCGGATGAAGTTGCTGCCTTCTGTGCATTCGGCCGTGATGTCTGCGTAGGGCATTTGCTGCTGCAGCAGCTGCTGCAGCTGCTGCTTCGCTGCAGCAGCATCTGCCGTGTACTGCAGCAGCAGGCGCTCGCCGACGCCGCTGCGGCTGCTGCTGCTGAGGTAGATGCCGAGCTGCAGCGCGAGCTGCTGCTGCGCGTCCCCCGTGCTGCTGCGCGCAGCGGCAGCAGCAGCAGCAGCAGCAGCGGGGGCGGCGGGGCCCTTGGGGAGCCTGAGGCTGTTGTTGCGGCTGCTGCTGCTCGGCGTCAGCGGCTGCTGCTGCAGCAGCAAACTGCGGAAGCTGCGCAGCGGCTGCGGCTTGTAGTAAAGGCGAGCAGCAAAATGGGGCCACCGCCGCCGCTGCCGATTTACCCCCAAACGGAGGTAGTCCAGCCGCGGGGCCCCACGCAGCTGCCGGCCCTCACTGCAGCAGCAGCAGCAGCAGCAGCAGCAGCAGCAGCAAAAGCAGCAGCAGAGGCAGGTTGTGCAGACGGGCAGGGACAGGGGACAGCTAACAGGTGACAAGCGCAAGGTCAGCAGCAGCAGCTGCCCGCAAAGCAGAAGCTTCAACAACAGCTGCTGCATGAGCAGCAGCAGCAGCAGCAACAGCAGCAGCAGCAGCAGCAGCAGCGTACCTCGACCCCTTGAGGAAGGCCCTAAACTCCTTCTCGTTTGAGAAGTGGAGGCCCCGTCGTTGGCAGTACAAAACCTCATATGCAGAAAAACGGGACGTAGCTGCTGCTGCTGCTGCTGCTGCTGTTGCTGGTGGTGCTGCTGCTGTTGCTGCTGCACTTGTAGGCAAAGCCGGCTGCCTTCTTGCTGCTGAGGCTGCTCTCAAGTGCTCAGCGCGTTGCCCTGCTACTGCAGTTGCTTTTGCTGTTGCTGCTGCTGCCTTTGCTGCTGCTGCTGCTGCTGCAGGGGCCCCCAGACGACTAGCCGCAGCAAATATCCCGCTAGCTGCGCCGAGCCGCAGCTGCAATAGGGAGTTCATCGGTTGTACAAAGAGTTCAATTTCATCAAAATCAAGGGTTTAGGGTTTAGGGTTTAGGGTTCAGGGTTTATGGCCTGGGGTCTAGAAACAGCCCCCGGCCCACGGGGACGGTGGCGGCCTAAACAGCTTGAAATATTCTATTTAAAGAACGGGGGTTTAGGGTTTAGGGTTTAGGGTTTTGAGCCTATTTGTAGCGGCTGCTGGTTTGAAGGCTGGGGTTTAGCGATTAGGCCTTAGGGTTTAGGAGGTCCAGTTTGGGGCTGCATGCACGGCTGCTCGCTTGTCTGCGGTTTAGGGTTTAGGGTTTAGGGTTTAGGGTTCAGGGTTTATGGCCTGGGGTCTAGAAACAGCCCCCGGCCCACGGGGACGGTGGCGGCCTAAACAGCTTGAAATATTCTATTTAAAGAACGGGGGTTTAGGGTTTAGGGTTTAGGGTTTCGTAATATAGTTTCCGTGCCTCCATGAACGAACCAGCCTCAGCTCGAGAGTCCCAGAGAGCAAAGCCCTAAACCCTAGCCTGCACCTGTAAACCCCAAACCCTAAGCCCTAAACCCTAAACCCTAAACCCTAAACCCTTGATGCTGGAATGTCCCTGGCTGCCAACTCCGTGAGGGGCCCCACAAAGCCCCCAGCCAAAGGCAGCTTTCCCTTAGACCGGGACCACCGCTGCAGCACGGAGCAGCACCGCTACCTGCGCTGCCTAACGCAGCAGCAGCAGCAGCAGCAGCAGCAGTTTGAGGCGTACGACCACCTGCCCTGCCGCGAGCTGGCGAAGGCCTTTCTCAAGTGCCGCATGGACACCAATTTGATGCAGCAGGAGGACTTCGAGCAGCTCGGCTTTGCTGCTTCTCCTCAAGCAGCAGCAGCAGCAGGTGCAGCAGCAGCCGGTGCAGCAGGTGCAGCAGCAGCAGGTGCAGCAGCAGCAGGGCGAGCAGGGGCTGCAGCAGTCGACAGCCTGGCTGAAACAGCCGCCTCCCCCGAACACGGCGCACCCCCAACTGCACCAGCAGCAGCAGCAGCAGCACCAGCAGCACCAGCACCAGCAGCAGCAGCAGCAGCAAAGTCAAAAGAAGAGACAGGCTACCTGGCTGGCATTTCGGCGCTGCAGCCATATTCTAACAGGGGCTTCTTTGGGCGAGTTGTGGCTCGCTTTAGTTGGCCGAAGCAGTTTCTGCAGCCCTTCTTTTCCCGCAGCAGCAGCAGCAGCAGCAGCAGCAGCGGCAGCAGCAGCAGCAGCAGGAAGGGGATGCAGCTGTTGCCTTCGGAGCCGAGTGACATGGACAGCAGCAGCAGCAGCAACAGCAGCAGTAGCAGCGGGAGGACTAGCGTGGGATTCGATAGACTCGACCACTACCCAGATAGCAGCAGCAACAGCAGCAGCAACAGCAGAAGCAGCAGCGACTCCGCAGCAGCAGTTTGAGGGTAGCAGCAGCAGCACCCGCAGCAGCATCCAGCTCTGCGCTGTTGTGTTTGGGATAGCTGCGCGGCAACAAAGCAGCAGCAGTACAGCAGCAGCAGCAGCAGCAGCAGCTAACAAAGCAATAGCCAATGCTGCACTTGCAGCAGCAGCAAAGATAATAGAGCTGCCGCCTCAGCAGCAGCCACAAGCACAGCAGCAGCTGTAGCGCTTGCTGTAGCTTCAGCAGCAGCTGCAGCAGCTGCTGCCGTTGCAGCCCCACCAGCTGCAGCGGCTTCAGCAGCAGCAGCGGCAAAAGGGGCAGCTGCAGCCACAGCACCAGCAGCAGTAAGGGCAGCAGCTGCAGCAACGGCAGCGGACGAAGGTGGAGGAGCAGCAAGAGAGGCAGCTGCAATTATACAGCAGCAGAAGCAGCAGCAGCAGCAGCAGCGCAACAGTGCCTCCGCTCCGTACCAGAGATTTTTTGTTTCTCTAGCCACAGCAAGCTGTGGCTAGCTGTGGCTAGCTGTGGCT